GAAGTATTATGCGCACAGAGAGAGCAGTGTGGAATTTGCAGAGTTCGGAGTGCATATGTGCATGTGAGTGCACATGTATGAGTATGTGTGCACATACATGAGGATTGTGCATATGTATGAGTACAAGTGTGTGTGTGTGACTGTTGCACTGGGAAACAGATCCTAACCACTGCACGGGCCAAAGGAGAGGTCAGAGTGTCCCTGGGTCAGGAAAGCACTATAGCAATAATTGGGCTGGGACATGTGGGCAGGATTCAGGGAAGTAATGGAGAACAACACACGAAGAAACAGAATGGAGCCTGAGGCAGCCGTGGGCCCAGAGGAGATCTCCTGCCCAGAACAGGAGTACGTGCTACAGAGAAGCTGGAGATTGGTTCAAGCACAGATGAAGCCCTGCCCTCTACCCCCTGCACCAAAGCAGAACCATGGGAGAGTGAGAACACGGCTGCCTTCACCTTTGGTGACACTCACCTCTTCCCCCAAGTAGCCCCCACCTGTGTGGAGACTGGACACGTTGCCCCCCGGGCAGTCTGGGAACACACCTGAAGTAGCCATCTGCAGACTCAGAATGTCTTCCTAGCAATTCTGTTTTAAAATAAAAAAGGTAAAAGCGGTAAGCTCCCAGTCCCAGCAGCAAGGCCCTTAGACTTGGAGCACCTCAGAAGCTTTCTGAGTAGTGGCAGGACCAAGCCATGTCTTAAGGTATTTCATCCATCACCAGGGGCAAGGTGGAGAGAAGCTGGAGAGCTGCAGTCAGGGAGACTGGCTGAGAGCTGACCTGGACAGAAGCGGACCAGCCCAAAGGGAGAAAACAGACTTACACAGCCAAGGCCCTTGAAGTGAAATTTGATGGCTTAGTAATTGCTGGTTTAGGGATGTGGTGAAGCAGGGGCTCAATACACAGCACATCAGAGGGTCATCCCACTTAAAGAATGTCAGCTGAGAAGGGTACAGTGACCCCCTCAGAATGTCCTTCCAAATGCAAGGAGATCCAGTATCTAAGGAGGAGATCCATGCAGGTCTAGCCTCCTCTCCCAATCCCACTCCGGGCCCTGGTTAGGTCCCCAGCTGCAGGCACCAGCCCTGGCCCCTGCGAAAGAACCCAGAAAATAGAGCCCCCAATGTGCTGACCACCAGCCATCTCTAACCCCAACAGTCTGCAGATGGGCCAGGGGAGGCTGTGCTCCCTCTTGACTCCCATCCCTCCCAGCCCGACCCCTGGCCCCATGAGTCAGGCTCCTCTCAGCCCACATCAGAATCGCTGGGCTGGAGCTGCCAAGAAAAAATCTGAGCCCCCTAATAAAAAGGAGCATTCAGCCAACATCTTACACAAGCCAGCCCTGAGAAAGGCACCTCTCACCTTAGCCCAGCTGCCGGCCAGCCCCTTCTGTTCCCTGCCCTATCTGTCAAGGGACGAGGCCTCTCCTGGCTTGATCCCCTCCTTGGCCTCACTGAGGTATGATCCATGGATCTGTCCTGTCCCCATTCCAGCATCAACTTGGCCCCAGACAGCTGATTTCTCCCTTTCAACAGCTGTCCACGGGGCTCAGAAATCAGCAGAGCCCTGGCCCAGGGACCCAGTCTGACTCAGCAAGGTCCTTTTGGAGTCATGTCTCTGCCTTTGATCCTGCTGTCACTGAGATACACAAGCAAGATGGCAGAGAGTCTGGGGGCTTTGTTGGGTGAACCAAATTAAAGGAAATCCAGAGGTCCGCCCCAGAGAAAGGAAGATGAAGATCAATCTTTGAAGTGCTCTCATGTAGGGAAGGGAGGACATATATCCTGTGCAGATATGAAGGCAGCACTAGAACCAGCACTGGGTGAAACCGCAGGGACTTGACATGAGCTCCATAGACCTAATGGCTTCTAGTATGCAAACATGTTCACAAGCAGAGCAGCCTGCTTCATGGGATCGTGGGACACCAGCCAACTGTCAGAAGCACTAAAAAGTAGATTCCTTCATTGATTGAGAGAGGTGAAGAATATCCTTTTTGATCCTGAGGTTGTAGATATACACAGAAACTGTTTTCCATAATTGCATCAACTACAAACTCTTGGGAAAAATTAATTCAACAAATATTTTGGAAAATCTGCTAATCACTTTTTCTTCTCTAGAGCTGCTGTGACCTCCAAAACTCAGCTTGGGTAGATGATGAATAAACAAGGCCATTTTAGATTCACCCTGGGATGACAACTTCACTGGCATACTTAATCCCAATAGGCCACGGGAAAGAGAGAGAGAGCCTTGGCTCTGCACTAATTCACACCAACAACTCAAGAAACCCCTCCAGTCATAAGCCCCCATTCTCCCTTGACACCCAGAATGTGCTAGAGAGGACACAGCCCCTCCCC